TCGGCCATTATTCAATGTACCAAGTGTGGAGAAGGGATCAGCAAGTGGTTTGCGGTAATTGAGCGACAAGGCAATTCACACTTGCGCGCCCTCAGTTCTATGGCAACTACGCAGAAAATTCTTTACGGTGTTTTGACCCATCTCATCTCTTCAAAGCTGGACCTTCAGAACAAGGAGAGGTGGGAAGATGGGTTGCCTGCAAAAGAGCTGCCGAATTGGGACAAATTTTCCACATTTTAAGAACTTCGGTGCCGCATAATGTTGAATTTGGAATGCGCTATGGTAGACCACACACCTTGCAAACAAGTGGTAAATGTAGCTACTAGAAATCATCGCACCGCACTTATTGCTTCGTCTTTCACATTGCCATTGTGTTTACTAACTGAGGCAAGGGAGCATTATTTGACGAATTGCCCACAACTTTTATGATTGACTTCAACTCAGCGCTACAACGTCACAGCACGTCCCTTGTAGCAACAACACATCTGAGTGGAAGGTACCGGAAAATCTCAAGCTCGCAGACCCTCCATAGACCGCATCTGTTTTGACCTGGGCGGGAGAGTTATATTTTGACCCCCGCTCAAGTCCTTGTGTAGTGGAGGAAATATTTCAAGTGATTATATTTGGAGGCTCAAGTGGCCTGCACTTACAGATTGGATCGATTTACAATGTGACATGATTATAGAATCTTACATTTGGAATTATTATCTTATTTCTGATAACCCACGGAATGGTTTGTTTACCCAAAGATATTTTGTGACCGTTCTGCAGGAAGTCATTTTACATGTTATGTGCGTATATTTGGCTTTATACAAGTGGCTGCTATACTTATATTTAGATGTGTTCATGTTGGAACAGATACTCTATCGGATAGTTCAGCTTCTCAAGCAAGTGGACAGACCAGACCGCAACCAAGAGCAGGCTTCTTCCTTTAAAGCAAGTAAAAAGTAAGTAAAAACTCTGAACTGGATTTCGATGCCAAGCACCCAATGATCCTTCCAAAATATCATTGCATTACCTCAGCCATCATTGATCATATTCATCGCAAGTTCTTACATGCAGGAGCGCAGAGCTTGCTGGACGCCCTACGGCAGAGATTCTAACCGAGTTATGGAGTTCCCTTACGTCGATGGAAATGAAGTGAAATTTCATCCCTCCTCGTTCTCCGCACTTTGGAGGCTTGTGGGAAGCTACTGTCAAATCTGCCAAGTACCACTTTGCTCTCGTTGTTGGAAAATCCGTTCTCACATTTCACGAGCTACGAACGCTAGTTTGTGAAATTTCGGCAATGTTGAACTCAAGGCCTCTCTATGCCATTTCAGAAAACCAAGACGACATCGATGTCCTGACTCCTGCACACTTTTTCATTGGGTCTACACTCTCATAAATGGACGAACCGGACGTGACCCATCGCAACCTCGATCGCATGAGCCGGTGGCAGCGTGTGTGCCAAACGCAGCAAATATTCTGGAGAAAATGGAGCACCTCTCGTTGCTTCAGGAACGGAGCAATTGGCCTTATCAAGGAGGACAACTTACCCCGCTTACGCCCCGACAGGGTGGAGAGCACTGTCTCCGGAGATGAAGGCGTCGATCGAGTTGCGGTCATCCACACAAGTTCCGGACTGTGCAATCGGGCAACTTCGCTTGGAAGTATGGCTCTTCCAACGGGGGAAGTATGTCGGGAGCAGTCATCTAGCTGATACCAGAATCAAGGCTTACAATTGCTCAGCATCACTGTATGCTTAATTATCTCGTTTATTTATAAGACAAGCCGAGATAAGCGCTCGCAAGTCGCCGATCGCACATTACGCTTGGCACATTACATTTCGTTCTCTCTCGCTGTTATCACGCAGTCGCAGCACTGCTAAAATAAATCATAGAAACAATCTCTCGGCCTTTTCTTTGGCAACGTTCACGGCACCGTATTTTTTTGTACAATTATATGTTGTAAAAAATATTTAGAAACAGGGGCATAAATTAACGCCCTCCGCAAAACAGATGGCTTGATGACGACATGTTCACTTTGAACAGACAGTAATGCCCTACAATAATTTTGAAAAAAACTCAAATCCTTAATATTAGCGAAATAATTTATCTAGGTGTCCACTGGCAAAGTCGTCTAACATGGCGAAGGCTCTTAAGTCACACAGTCTCCACTGGATCACGAAATTCCAATCTTTGTTGCGCGAGACCAACGAAGCATAAGTCGGCATCTTTTTAAATAATTTAATTCTTTTCATTCCTTTTTCTATGACCTAATCAGTTTCAATTAGTTCCCAAAAAAATATTTTTAGAAATATACTGCGACTTATAATCCGTTATTGCTTTTGTGACAACCGCAAAAAATGACCAGAATCTTGAGACTGAAAGATGATATCAACTTCCTTTTCAGAGTTGAGAGAAGGTTATCCTATTGCAGATACTGATTCATGCGCCCCTCGAGTTTTAAACAAGAAGATACTCTATAGTCGAGTCTAGTGACTATGAAATACCCGTTACTGTTTTACACAATTTTGAAATATTCATTTTGCTAGTGGAAATTCATAAGGCCCATCCTATTTTGTATTATTATATTTTAGTTTGAGTGAACTTGGAACTTAGTTTTTCCCGGCTAGTGACAATTATCGGGTGGTAAAACAATGGTCCCAGGGCTAATTCTCACCTGGCGGTGAGAACACTGCCTTACCTTAATTTCTAGAAATAATGCCCATAATAAGTTTTGAAATATTATTTTTTCCATTCCTTTTACCTTTTATGCTAAAGAGTATAAATAATAAAGTGAAACTCACCTCAATATTGTTCTATTATTATTTATTTGAGCATAAACTAAATCTTTGGTGGCGAATTCATAACGCAGCTCATTAACGTGCTCAATTTTGTGTGAGAATTCGTTTCATCGTGAAGGGATACTTTGAGCACAAAGTGCATTCCACTCGGTATTTTGTTTTCCGACTTTCTAAATTTTAGGTTTGACACAGTGTCACATTCTGCACTTCAATAACGATAGGTTGTGTTTGGTGTGCTGTTTTCGCCTTAGAGATATATACGAAATTTTAATCAATAATTATCTGATTTAGGCCTTAGAACCTTACAATTATAAGATTACGGCCTAGAAAGTGTTTTGTTTGCAAACGCCCATCTGGAGTCACGTTTACTATACCATTGCTTTGACCGTCCAGCTTAAAGAGCGCACCGTTTTTAATGGATTTAAGCTGAACCTTGCGGCGCGGAGCTGCTAAAATGGATGCCCTTATATTTGTCGCAACCAGATGAAGTGCTTTTAACTGCAATTAAAAAATATATTTTTGTTATAAAAAGTTCTCGGAGAGATCACACTTACCAATTAGCTTTAAACTGGTTGGTGGCAACTGTATAACCTTCCCGGGATTTAGGGCTCGTACTCGGCTCAATATTAAATCCTCACTTTGGTACTCAACCTCTGAAATTTTTATTTTGGTATTTTTACCCTAGCCAATCAAATTTAAATAATAATAAATAATACAATATAATAAATATAATAAAATATATTAATATATTATATATAATATAATATATAAATAAATAATATAAATAATATAATATATATAAATATAATATATATAATATAATATATAAACTACTACATATAATCGCTTAAGAAAGTATGCATGTGAATATGGGCACTGGTTGTATGCTCTGTATCTGTACCTGCTTGATAACTCAATCGAGCAGGCTCATCGAAGAACATTTTGATATCCGTGCACATTGCGGGCATAGAGCTAAGTTTTCTTAACTCTAGGCAGTATCCGCGCACGCAAATGCAAAGATAGTAAGTTAGACTCACCTGTAGCCGTGAATTTGTATAAGATTTCAACAGCCTGAGGTTGGCTGACTTTCCAGAAGATTTTTATGTTTTGCAAGGTACCTAATACCATGGGAGATAAAACAAAAAGACCCCACAAGGTGGCGGGCATTATGGCCCCGCAACGAATGCGGATCAGAGAGTGCGAATCTCCATCCCCTTAAGGGAAACTACGTGTAAGTCCACCGCGTCGTGGGTCACTATTTCAGCCTTTCCGATTACCGGATTGTTTAAATAGTACTTTACTACGATCGTGCTGGTCCCCAGTCTGTGGGCTGTAACATCGCCCGAACATATGGCTTCGAATGCCAAAAATATTACTTATTATCAGCCGATAAAGGAAAATTAACTTACTTACACTTAAGCTGCTTCTGTCTAAGAGGAAGAGGTTTTCGTTGGTGTCGAAGAGCCTGACGATCGCCTCGATTTGGGTTCCACGCTCAATACGGTCCCTGCTAGATACTTCAATGGCACCAAAGTTGGACAGAAGGTTGGGTTCGTTCATCAAACAACGGTCGGTCAGATCAAGACGCACATGGCCAAAACGCAACTGCTTCAGTACTAGTATGCGGGTCCTCTCATTGTATTCAACATGAACAATGCCTCTTTCAGAAAGCACTAGCTGCATGTATCCACTACCCTGAGCGATAGGAATGTGCTCTCTGTGGCCACAATCAAGAAAAATGTTGACAAGGTCTTTCGACGAAATTATTCTATTAACCGCGTTAAATTAAAGTTCGTTTTCAATGGTTACTACGTGCTTACTAAATTTGCATTAGGCTGCTAAAGAAAATAAAAATATATATGTTTCAAGGTAAATTCATGGAGACAGGATAACCCACATTTTTAATTCCGAATGGAGGACGTTTCGAATAAATTTTCTGTTGTGCAAATATCTTGTCTATGTACTGGGACACAGTTCCCTTTATGGAGAAATTGGTCGCTACGTCGCTTAATGTCAGGATGAAAAGATCGCGTTTCGGTAAGCTAACACCGTGAATAAACTCCAACTCAGAAATTTTTAAGGTGTGAAATAATTTCCTTGTAGTTGCGCACGTTATCAACGGTAAACTCCCAATCCAGTCGTAGATAGAACATTCATAACCCGGTCTTATGAAAAGTGTTAAAAAATTGTGAAAAACGGTTTTTCGTAAATCGATAGGTAACAACAAAAAACAAGAAGAAACGTTATAGTCGAGTGCCGCGACTATAACATACCCGTTACTGGTTAACACAATTGTAAAATATTCACCGCAAAAGGTGTCAAATAAGCATGTTTACTAACTGATGATGACGGAACTGTGCATGTGAGGACTTATATCCAACATTTCTTCATATATTATATAACTAAATATTGTTCAGATTTGAAAAATCTTTCGTAAATCAATAGAGAGTCAAACAATGACAAACAATATAATATTATGGACGCCAGTTTTCCGGCGTTATAGTGGGCGTGGATTCTGAAATAAACTTGCTGCGTAGGGACCTCAAACATATGTCTGCTTTGTATCTCTTATAGTTTCTGAGATCTCAGCGTTCTTATGGACAGACGAACGAACAATCGGACAGGGCTTAATCGTCTCGGCTATTAATCCTGATCAAGAATATATATACTTTATACGGTTGGAAACGCTTCCCTCTGCCTGGTACATACTTTTCAATGAATCTAATATACCTTTTTACTCTTTACAAAGTTATAATATTTTTTGGACTGCAAGTGGTTACGGAGAACGAACTGTCCTCGATACTCTGATCCACTGAATATGTCCAATGACTTGACAAACACAATCTGCAAAACCGCTTTTTAAAGTTAAACAAATGATTAAAATTATATATTAACCACATTCGCCTCCAGAACTTCCAAATCGTACCTAACAAATCCGCCAAGCGTGGTCTCGTCGCCATAAGTTATCACAATCTTATCGTTCCGATGGTTTAATACTCGGGCAATGCCTACCATGGTGGAAGAAAAAAGTTTACAAATATGCTTCAATGAAAAAAGACAATTATAATTTAGACAAACGAAAAATATTTTAAATTTTAAGCCTATTTTACTTGTTCTACAAAAAAAAAGAATGGTAGGTAACTTTTGGGCAATTTTATCGAGTTATTGTTGTAACAAATAAATAACTAATAATTTCATGTTGCAAATTAAAAGGCGCATACTACAGAAACAAATCAAAAGGCTTAAATCCGAAACTTGTCAAGAATATGTGAGAATAATAATAATAATAATTACTATAATACTATTTATATAACTGTAATGTAAGTTTATTAACAGAAAAAACTATTTTCATTTAAACTGCTTGAAATTGATGACAATGCCACCGGCACAAATGGTGTTTTGGTTTTAAATTTGTTAGCATTTGTTGTAGAAGGTTGCAACCATGAGCATCAGGGAATTCACTATCTAATTTAAACTCACCTTGGTAAGGAAGAAGTTATTTGAACTAACCACTGACAACTTAATATAGGCCCAAAAATACTTGATTCCTGCTTAGTTCCACAACCTGATGACAATAACATTCTTGGTCTCACGCAACAAGTTCAGCTGAAAGGAAAGCGAGTGAGACTTTGCTGGACTATTTAATGTGAATGCATAAAATAACAAAAAAAAAATTTAGTTCACAGGAGACTGAAAAACAATTTTTATACTCGTCACTCGTAGAGTAAAAGGGTATATTAGATTCGTTGAAAAGTATGTAACAGGTAGAAGGAAGCGTTTCCAACCCTATAAAGTATAGTCGAGTCGATTAAACCATGTCCGTGAATCCGTCCGCCCGTCTGTCCACACGTCTGTCTGTCAGTCTGTCTGTCCGCCTGTCTGTATGAACGCTGAGATCTCAGGAACTATTAGAGATAAAACGTTGAGATTTAGCATGAAGATTCTTGAGCGCTGACACAGCGCAAGTTTAGTTCAGCATCCTTACACGCCCGCTCTATCCCTCACATGTCACGGAAAACTAAAGTTGCTGAAATCTCAGAAAGTATTGGAGCTAGAAAATTTTGATTAAGTATACACTTGAGATGTCAGCACATCTAATGGTGGTACCAATATCCACGCCCACCAAGCTCGAACGACGGTTTTCGCTTTTTATAGAAAAGCTGATATCTTGGAAACTATAAGTGATAGAAATGTGGGATTAGGCATGCTGTTTTTTATGATGCCGCAATGCTTTTTTCCCCATCTAGCCACACCCACTATAACGAGAAAAACTGTGGCATCCACATTATTATAATTTATATCTGCGTTTGACATTGTATAAACTATTTTGGTCAATCTCTATTGATTTAACATAATTTTTCAAATCGGAACATTATTTCGCTATTTATAAAGTTTTTTTGACAAAAGGTGGCGCTTTGTGAATTCCCACTACCAAAATGAATATTTTAAAATTGTATAAAACTGTAACGGGTATCTTATAGTCGCGGTACTCGACTGTATTTAGAACCAACTAATACATGTTTTCTTATTGACAGTAAAGTCACTTCCTATGGGATATCAAAATTTCACAATTTGAAAACTTTTTTCCACATGCTCTAATCTGCGTTAAAATCTATAGTAAATAAATGATTAATCTTCGGATTTATTTTGTATTATTATATTTTAGTTTGAGTGAACTTGGAACTTAGTTTTTCCCGGCTAGTGACAATTATTGGGTGGTAAAACAATGGTCCCAGGGCTAATTCTCACCTGGCGGTGAGAACACTACCTTACCTTAATTTCTAGAAATAATGCCCATAATAAGTTTTGAAATATTATTTTTTTGCATTCCTTTTACCTTTTATGCTAAAGAGTATAAATACCTCACCTCAATATTGTTCTATTATTATTTATTTGAGCATAAACTAAATCTTTGGTGGCGAATTCATAACGCAGGTCATTAACGTGCTCAATTTTATGGGAGAATTCGTTTATTCGTGAAGGGATACTTTGAGCACAAAGTACATTCCACCGGTATTTTGTTTTCCGACTTTCTAAATTTTAGGTTTGACACAGTGTCACTAAAATGTATTGCACACTCTGCACTTCAATACCGATAGGTAGTGTTTGGTGTGCTGTTTTCGCCTTAGAGATATATACGAAATTTTAATCAATAATTATCTGATTTAGGCCTTAGAACCTTACAATTATAAGATTACGGCCTAGAAAGTGTTTTGTTTGCAAACGCCCATCTGGAGTCACGTTTACTATACCATTGCTTTGACCGTCCAGCTTAAAGAGCGCACCGTTTTTAATGGATTTAAGCTGAACCTTGCGGCACGGAGCTGCTAAGTGGAATCCCTTATATTTGTCGCAACCAGATGAAGTGCTTTTAAAAGTGCAAATAAAAGATATATTTTTGTTATAAAAAGTTCTCGGAGAGATCACACTTACCAATTAGCTTTAAACTGGTTGGTGGCAACTTTATTACCTTTCCGGGATTTAGGGCTCGTACTCGCCTCAATATTAAATCCTCACTTTGGTACTCAACCTCTGAAATTTTTATTTTGGAATTTTTATCCTAGCCAATCAAATTTAAATATTATATACAATATAATAAATATAATATAATATATAAATATAATATATATAATATAATATATAAATAAATAATATATATAATATAATATATAAACTACTACATATAATCGCTTAAGAAAGTGTGCATGTGTATATGGGCACTGGTTGTATGCTCTGTATCTGTACCTGCTTGATAACTCAATCGAGCAGGCTCATCGAAGAACATTTTGATATCCGTGCACATTGCGGGCATAGAGCTAAGTTTTCTTAACTCTAGGCAGTATCCGCGCACGCAAATGCAAAGATAGTAAGCTAGACTCACCTGTAGCCGTGAATATGTCTAAGATTTCAACAGCCTGAGGTTGGCTGACTTTCCAGAAGATTTTTATGTTTTGCAAGGTACCTAATACCATGGGAGATAAATCAAAAGGACCCCACAAGGTGTCGGGCATTATGGCCCCGCAACGAATGCGGATCAGAGAGTGCGAATCTCCATCCCCTTAAGGGAAACTACGTGTAAGTCCACCGCGTTGTGGGTCACTATTTCAGCCTTTCCGATTACCGGATTGTTTAAATAGTACTTTACTACGATCGTGCTGGTCCCGTCTGTGGGCCGTAACATCGCCCGACCATATGGCTTAGAATGCCAAAAATATTACTTATTATCAGCCGATAAAGGAAAATTAACTTACTTACACTTAAGCTGCTTCTGTCTAAGAGGAAGAGGTTTTCGTTGGTGTCGAAGAGCCTGACGATCGCCTCGATTTGGGTTCCACGCTCAATACGGTCCCTGCTAGATACTTCAATGGCACCAAAGTTGGACAGAAGGTTGGGTTCGTTCATCAAACAACGGTCGGTCAGATCAAGACGCACATGGCCAAAGCCCTTGTAGATTGGTTTTACGGATGTCCTGCGGAAAACTCCAAGTTAGAATAAAAAGGAAGATGAGAAGATGAAATAAACCGACTTACCATTTGTATTAGTTACATATGTTGACCTCCAGTGTTAATTTAATTGATTTCACCTAAATATTGGCAAAAGTACGCACGGTTGTTTTAAGCGCGCTGCATTAGCTGCGTAATTTTTTGCCAACACCAGTAATGCCGCGCATAAATTCAGTTTTAAATTATAATTTTGGATGCTACTTGCTAAAAATAGAGATGGACAAACATTTAATATCCGGGAAAACATGCAGTCTCATTATTTTTCAAGTATCTACCGCCTTAATACGAATTATATTTTAATATATCATCAGCACACTGGTGGCTAGAGTCTGGACTGCAAATATTTATCATACAAGTACATTATCTGATTAACCTGAAACGTGTTACAACATATTATGGGTACATATGGGTTTGTCTTACAACTCAGTCCATAAAAAAATGTATAAAAAACTGTTACGGCGAGAAATAGAAAAAGGAAAATAATTGATTCTTACTATTGCAGGAGATCCACGGAAATATCTTCTAAACGAACACCGTCCACCATTTAATACAATTATTTCAGAAAATAATTAAAAGTTTTAATATAAATTCGGCTCAATCTTTTAACTATAACTTATATTTAAAGTATCACAAATATGTCGTTCCACAGATTTATATTGCCATCCCAAACTATTCCATAATGACCGGGCTTGTATGGAGCGAGCTGACAAAAATATTTCTAGTGGAGATAAAAATTTAAAATTCTAGAAAAATGTGATAAACAAAGTAAACAAACTCTAGATCGTCAGACCAAATTTTTAAGATATAATTATGATAGCATATTAATAATAACACGTACAGATCAAAACATATATATTAAAAACTGACTTTATTTTGGGTGGTACCTTTCGTTGTTATGAAAGGATCCCATAAAAGAAGTAGACGATTGGGTAGGTGTTCATTTGTTTCTACTCGAGAAATTTTTCTAGCATGCTGCAAACGAAATGTTCTTATTCCTTAACTCCACAGCATCATCCGATAACTTATTAATCGACACCAGAGCGTGTTTAATTATGAAGTCTTTCAACATTAATGTTGTATCCCGAACAGAGTGCTTTCAATATTGTTTCAATAAGGGTTTATCTAGGCCGGTAATTTCCGAAGATAACACGGGATAACTGAAGAATCATCTTGCAGTGTTTCCACGTATGAATATAAGGTAACACTTCTGAGGGGTAACAAACAGTCGGTAGAAATCGTGTGTCATTTTTGGATCACCCTAGTCTTTCTAGATGCCGACTTAGCATATCATGCGGTCGGTCTGCCGACTAAGTTCCCCTATTTCGTACAGCTAAGTTCCTCAGTTCTGTTTTATAATTACTTACTCCGACTATCGCCGTCATATTATTTGCAATCGCCCACTGAGCTCAAGACCAGGGGTATAGGGGGGCAGTCTCCCTCTCGACATAAACTTCATTTTACACATCATCAACCACCTTACCAGTGACACACACCTGGGAGCAGCAGCCCGGCCGCCAATTCCCAACTATCTTGACACTCACTACTACTCAGCAAGCACCCTACTGGTGCCACCTCATCAGCCTGATCTGGAGCAGCTTTGCCACCGGACAACCGACTATAAGATAACTGGCGCCTAACGAGCAAACTAAACTAGCGACCTTCAAAATTTTCAAGAGTAACATGTAAGTGGGCTGATTAATTAGTTTACGGCTTCAACAAACATACACAAAACATAGCGACATAGCGCAACAGGCTAGGCTCCGAGCAGAATTTGAAGCTCAAATCACTTCCGTTAATATACCAAAGAGTCTAAGTACAGCCAGGAGCACCCCGATGCGATATACCGCTCCACGTAATAAAGTCAGTACCAGATTTTAACGGTCAGCAAGACGAGGCAATCTGCCACGACACATACGAACTCTACAAACCTTATCAGGGCAACTATGCTTGGGCTTGAGCGACCCGCCAAAGTGACCAAAGCGTCATGCCATACATACTATGACGAGGTTGAGCGTAGGCCGACTCAACTCGTCAGATAGCATAACTGATCAAAGGCGCTCCGGTAGCCGCGCTGAGCGCAATCGAAGACGACAGCGACTCGGCCGACTCCCATGACCTTCTCCTTTTAGAGGGCGGTCCCGGCTACGGTTCATCGAACGACGGTTGGCTGGGAGAACTTTAAAAATTCTTATTGATACAGGGGCAGCGAAAAGTTATATAAGGCCCGTAAAGGAGCTTAAAAATATAACGCCAGTAGCTTCACCGTTTCGGGTGAATTCAATTCACGGGTCCAACGGCATACATAAAAAGTTCCAAATAAGTGTCTTGGAAACCACTTCCCCATTTTTTCATATTAGATTCCCTAACAACATTTGACGGGATCATAGGATTCGACTTGCTAACGCAAGTGAGAGCCACCCTCAATATGCAAACTAAAAAAATGTTGTATGGTTCCGTGTCTGAGGACCTGCAGTTTCTTGATTGCGACAATGTAAACTTTACCAACATAAACTCGTTCCAGAGTCAGTAAAAAAGAAGTTTATCAAAATGATAAAAAAAGGTCTAAAGTGTTCTCCGACGCAACTTAAACTTTGCCGTACAACACAAATGTTGTGACAACTATACGAAATGAGGATAACAACCCAGTGTACTCTAAAACGTACCCACACCCAATGGGTGTCGCAGAGTTCGTTAATAAAGAAATAAAAGACCTACTGAAGTCTAATATTATAACCCCATATTACTACCGTATAATAATCCAACATGGGCGGTCGATAAAAAGGGGTCAGATGAGACAGGTGGTAACTGAACAAAAAAAACCATTCCTGATAAATACCCTTTGCCAAGTATCGAGTTAATACTGGCAAACCTTGGCAAGCCAAAAATTTTACAACTCTAGACTTAAAATCTGGCTATCACCAAATTTCCCTCGCGGAACAAGATCGCGAAAAAACCTCATTTTCAGTCAACGGAGGCAAGTATGAATTCTACCGCTTGCCTTTTGGATTAAAAAATTCTGGTAGCATTTTTCAATGGGCAATAGTTGACGTATTGAGGGAGCAGATAGGGAAATCGTGTTACGTCTGTGTTGACGATGTCATAATCTTTTCGGAAAACGAAAAAGAGCATGTTAGTCACATTGACTGGGTCCTGAAAAAATTAGGCTTAGTCAATATGAGCATCTCGAAAGAAAAAACCCAGTTTTTTTAAAAGAAAGTGTCCAATACTTCGGCTTCCCGAAACGGGGCAACAACTGACCCTGAAAAGGTAGCAGCCATCAAGGAAAACACAGAACCGACCAGCTTATTCTCACTAAGATCATTTTAGGACTTGCCAGCTATTATAGGTGTTTTATAAAAGATTTCGATACAATAGCCAGGCCACTAACCAACCTCCTTAAAGAAGAAAACGGTTCCGTAAGTAAACACATGTCAAGGAAAATACCAATAAATTTTAACGATCAGCAAAGGGACGCATTCGATAGACTTCAAAACATTTTGGCATGATGTAACCCTCAAATACCCAGACTTTAAGAAACTGTCCGATGTGACAACCTATGCGTCAGCTTACGGCATCGGGGCTGTACTGTCGCAAGACAAAAACCCCATAACGATGATATCCAAAACCCTTAAAGACTGCGAGACCCGTTACGCAACTAACAAAAGAGAGTTACTCGCTATAGTCTGGGCTCTAGAAAAATTAAGGCAGTGTCCATAAGCCGCTAACGTTCGCTATCTCGGAGAAGAATCCAAATGACAAATTAAAACGTTGGAAAGCATTAAAAGCTGACTACGGCGCAAAAGTCATATACACTACGGGGAAAGAAAATTTTGTCGCCGACGCCCTATCGAATCAATGCCCATCAAAACGATTCCAAATCTGTTTGTGCAACAGTTCACAGTGAAGAATCTAGCACTTATACGCTAGAAACAACGGAAAAATCTTTAAATAGTTTCAAAAATCAGATAATCCTAGAAGAGGCAAAGTATTCCTTAAAGCGATACATTATATTTTTCGGAAATAAATCCCGCCATATTATACATTTCACTGAAAAATCGACCCTTTTAGAATCACTAAAACCAATAATTTACCCAAAAGTTGTTAACGCTATTCATTGTAACTTGCCAACGTTGGCTAGCATTCAACATGCATTAGTATCAAATTTGCAACAACATTTTGGCACTGCAAGAACTTTGTGTCAGAGATTTCTGATAAAAGTGAGCAGATCGTAATAATTACCGCAGAGCACAATCGTGCACACAGAGTTGCTCAGGAAAATATCAAACAAGTCCTTCGCGACTATTATTTTCCAAAAATGTCAAAGTTGGCGACTGAAATAGTGACAAGTTGCAAGATGTGACAGACACCCCAAGAAACAAGAACTTGGGGTAGCTCCAATTGCGTCATGTAGCGGCGAAATGCAGCATATTGACATTTTTTCCACCGATAAAAAACTATTTTTAACGGCCATCGACAAGTTCTCCAAATTTGCGATAGTACAACCAATAGAGTCGGGGGCAATAGTGGACGTAAAATTCCCTATCATCCAACTAATAAACTTATTGCCCAATATAAAGTCAATATACTGTGATAACTAAGTTCCAAAGTTCTGTTTTATTGTTATTTAAATAAAGAGCACTTAGCCCCATAAACATTACTCCGACAATCGCCGTCATATTATTTGCATTCGCCCACTGAGCTTAAGGCCAGGGGTATAGGGGGGCAGTCACCCTCTCGACATAAACTTCATTTTACACATCATCAACAACCTTACCGGTGGCACACCATAGGCGGCCATCTGGGAGCAGCAGCCCGGCCGCCAATTCCCAACTATCTTGACACTCACTACTACTCAGCAAGCACCCTACTGGTGCCCCTCATCAGCCTGATCTGGAGCCGCTTTACCACCGAGCAACGGACTATAAGATAACTTATATATATATAAATGAATGTAGCCATGTATGTCCGCTATAGAATCGTAAACGGCTGGACCGATTATGATAGGTTCCAAAGGTTTTCTTATATCATTTACGTAAGAATTTTTGTTAATTGTAAATCTATTCACACCAAACGTGTATATCATGGCATTGATTTTAGTTGATGAAATCACTAACAGGACGCTGGTGCAACTGTAATATCTGATCCAAACCGACCAGACCAAACATCGATTTTGTTGAACTCATCGAAAGGCAAGCATGCCGAGCGAAGCGAGTCGGGCGCGCTAATAATTAATAAAGGGTG